CAGCCGGAAATATTGATTTTTGGAAAATTTCATTTGCACTAATGAGGGTGGAGGGTCATTGGTCGTTAATTGATTGAGCTATTTTTCCTCATTAGAATCAGACTTTGGCTTTCAAGTTTTTCTTTGCCAGCAAAATTTTAAAGCTCTAATGCCATGTCATTAAGTACTATAGAGAAGAAAGACAAAATGCTCTAACTCAATACATTAATTGATATTCGATAGTTATTACTTTAAAGTTTTATTATGACATTTTTGAAAATAATTGCAACACTTTCGTTTACCAAAACGAAAAATTTGATAAATATTTTACTTTTCAACGTTTTGAAAAAGATGCTTCTAAAAAATTAAATTCCATGAATTCTTGTATGTACAAGAATGAGCAAAACATATATTTTCCTAATAAAATGTTTTGAGAGAAAACAAACGTACGTATATGCAAAGCTTTCGTGAATGATAGTGATCAACCGTCGTTGCAAATCATATATGCAATGACATTTTAATTTTTTTGGTGCAGCTCTATTGTAAAAGATTAAAAACTCAAAAGAATGGATAAATACAAAATAATCTCATTTGTATACGATTCAGAAACACGAATGAAGACTAAACGAGTTTGAAAAATACAAAGAACAAATTACAATAAAATATACGATGTTAAACAAAAAGCATATCAAAAACAAAAATATATAGACTGCTGCTATTAAAAAAATAATCAAAAATAAAATAAAACTTGAAAGAACAGTTAGTTTTTAGTAAAGCAAAACTTTTTTACGAAATACCTTACGCAATTACTCATTGAAAAAAAGCTATTTACTTTCAGACGTATCTTAACCTGCAACCAATGGTAAATCACGGTTTTCTTTTTCTCAACAAATAGAACGGAGACCATTAGATTATATTGAATGTGAAATTTAAACAAAAATTGAGGGAATTAGGACTGAAATTAGAAAAAATTCGATTCTTGTAAAATAACTCATGCATTTGAGTCAAATATTGAAAATATAAAAATGATTAATTCCAAAAAGCTACTTTTTTCAATATTGTCTTTATTACCATGTTTCTTCTTTAAAAAGTTTGATCGTCTGTCATGATTTTTTCTTGAATATAATTGTTAAAAGAATAAATAATATATATTAATGAAGTGTCCAAATACCTTCATAATGACTGATTGTTTTTTAAAATGAACTATTTTACCTTTATTATTATTACTGTTTTAGTTATGAGCTTTCAATGTCTGTACTCTGTATGACTTTTGAAAGTAAATATAATGAGCTAGTGTTTGTTAGTCCATAGAACTTTTACCGAACAATTATTCGTATGAATTTCTGTTCGCAATACACGAAAAATTTTTTTCGCATTTTCTTGCAAGTACAATTGCCGTCCAACAAAGCGCTGGCTCCATTTTATACATAGAAAAACCACAAAAAGTATGTGAAACTTATGCTTTTTTAGTAACACTCGTATATAAACATAAAAGAAACAAATTCGGAGCTTTTTCACAAATAGAATAATACAAAGACCTAAAAAAGTGGCAATATTCAATTCACAGATAGTTTTCCTCGTCGTTTCCATTTATTTTCAAATTTCATATGAACATAGTTTTGAAAACTTATAAAGATCATACAAAACAGCATTTTCATTAATTTAATGTGCATCAGTTATTGATGTGCATATTAACACTGTGGTCAAAGGTGATACTTATTTATTGATAAATATGTCTTCTCGTTCAACGTGGATCCGAAACCATAATCCATAAGATTTAACATAGTTATTAGTATGTCATTGGGTATTAAATGCCGCACATGAAGAGAGCTCATGTGCATAAATAAGCTCGGGGCTGTTATTCGAAAGCCATTTTCCGCAGTGGTCAGTCAAAGAGGAAGAAAAAGAAACTACCTAGAATTTTACTAAGGAGCTGATTTGCAAGCGTGTGCTTGTATTGACCATTGTGCTTTAGGCTTGATTGTTGAAGGTGCCTCGTTCGCTCGCTGCCTCGCTCTTGACTTTCTGCATTCCTATCTTGCTCGCGAGCAGTAACGAACAAGTAAGAGTGAAAAACCAAGTGCAGGCACAATCGGTTATTTCGAGATGATCTTATTCACTTGTAATACTTATGATAAATCCTATTGAATTTTCGCTCGGCTCATTTCTCAGAATATGGTCATTCGAATAATTGTTAAATATTGTTAAAATCCTTTCGTCAAAATGGATCAAAAGTAAATTTATTGCTTAAAAATACTCATTTTATATTCATATACATAGTCTGAAAAGTGTGTAGTTGTCGCGCGAAGTATCTCACGTTGAATGAAAAGTCAAGATAGAATCCTATCTAGAATTTCGCCGCACACAATAACCTCGTTATTGAGATCTCAGTGAGTATTAAATCTTGGAAATAAACCGTTTGCGTATTATGTTGTCAACGTTCGTTTGGCTGTGCCTAAAATATTCGCGAAAGCGCTCATTGTCCGGCCAAACTAACTGCTTGGAGTTTCGTATTTTCTGCGGTTTCCTTTGCATTCAGCTTGTGACGCAAGTAGTCGACGCTGCGTGCGACACAATATGGTTGAAATATAGTATATGCATCCACATACGAGATGGAAATTTTAATTTAATATGAAGTAAATAAGAAAAATAAAAAGAGGAGTACTTATAAAAGTACTTATCTCAGTACAGATAGGGAATAATTCAATTTACGATACTCAAAAAATTGAGTTTTAACAAACCTATTTAGACTGTATTCGAGCTTTTTACACTTGAAAGAGATGTAGCACTTTAACCGCTGTCAAATTTTATTATTTGATCAGTGAAATTATTAAAAAAAAAATTGCATGCGAAGCACACCTAGTTTATAAAATTAGCGTTAATATAATTACCAACTTTACTTAATGGCTTTTGTCTCTGGTACTTTGTACGCCTCTTGCTCATATTTGCCTCTTTAATCATTTATGAACTCTTAATAGCAAAAAGAGGATGCGAACGCTGTACCTCTTTCTTCAATCTTTATATACGCTTGATTTTATTATATTCTTTCTTAATTTCGTTTTATAACATGTCCAATAAATTACATGAATATTCATTTGAATAATATAACTTTAAGTAAATCATTTTTTATAGCTAGAATTCGTAATTTATACGTCAAATAAAGCGAATAACATAATATATGATGAATATTAAGCTATCTAAGGGAAAATATACGGACGCATGAATTTCGATGCAGTGGTTTCGAGTAGCGGAACAACGATTAGCATTTAAAATCCAAAAGCGAAAGTTAGCAGCGACGATGACTGAGGACGTCCGTTGTTGGTCGAAATTGAATTAGTCTCTTACAGGCCAATTTAATTAGAAGTTGATGAAACCGAGCCCTCCGAAGCGTTGTCTGCTCGCTGTACTTCGTGAAGAATAGGCACTAGACACCCGTAGCAGCTCATGTACACCGAAAGCGATCTCTCGGTATTGCGCCCATCTCTCGCATCAAGTTTGACCATCTGTTACCCAGAGTGGGAAGAGATAAAGTATGGTAACGGAGAAAGATGCAAAATTCCACGTTGCGCACGGGACATTGAATCTTTCGCTTGAATATAAAGCAGCGCTCTTACTCGTCCGAGCCAAGGGTCAACTTGTGCACTGTGACTGAGTGGTCGTAATTAAAACGACCGGAGCTATTCGATTCAGCGCAATAAAAATAGTTGACATTGCATACTGATGTATCATTAAATTTAACAAATATAATCTGAGAGACTCTCTCGTAAAACCATTTTTTTTTAAAGTTTTCATCTATGGAAAGCACAGCTTTGAATATTTAACTAGGAAGAGCTTAGGAACGACCAGTTCATGAATAATTTTCATTGAAATTTTTGTTTCAAATTTATTTTTTCCCTTTTAGAACCACACGGCACATCCTCAAGATTAAAATGCATAATTAAGGAACTTCTCTCACTCTAATTGTGCCTCGGATCATTTGTTTCCTTATGCAGATACAACAAATGTTCTCCCGGGTACGAGAGCTAGTATAGTGGCTCTTAGCCGCACTGATTTACCGATAGTAGATATTAATTAGAATGAACGAACGTGAACTCTCGCGCGGCCGCCCGAGCTCTCAAAAGAATTATGCGCGTGGACCTGTTAGAAATGGCCTCACACCATATAGCGATTCTATAAATTCGTGTGGGCAGACAAAGCGACGCCTGTCGCGCCACATAAATATACTCTCTGCACGAGCCATGGCGTCGAGCGAGTGCGGCAATTATTTTTTAAAAAATACTCTCGTCTGCGATTTATCGCCGCATCGTTCTGCTGTACGACAACATTTTTCGCATACATTAGCTGGAAATCATTATTTGCCTAATTCAGGTATCGACGATTTCGAAATAAATTTCAACGACTTGTACGACAACCTTTATCTTTTTAATTCTCTCAAGTGGCGACCATAGTACTTTCTTTACGCCATGTCTTGCAGACATTTATGCGTCGGAGCTTGCTGCTAAACGACCCTTAAATCTGTGGATTATAACACTCGAAATTTGAACAACACACTTACGTCGGCTGCCCCACGCGCGAGCTTGCACGCATGTACTGCAGGGCTTACCTCTAAACACGCACTTCTATTAAAAGCCCGGCGTCACCCAAACACGATGCAGCCTCGTTGCCGCTGAACTGCGTGTTTTCATTAATTAGTTGCTCTCCTATTAACAAAGTTTGCGTTACATGCCCAGTTTGAATCAGCAACATCTGTACGTGCTTATACCACTGTGCATTTCCCGAATATGTGGGCAGTGCATTATTATATGTAATACGCTGCAAGCATTTGGTGCATACCTCACTGACTCTGGCTTCGTTTGAAATAACTTATTGCCTATCTAAATACACGATAGTAATGAGTATTGATGCAACAGTAAAATTTTCAGAAATTCTAACGATTTCTGATTCCCAATGGTTCAAACATTGACTTTTCAAATTTTTACATGAGTGAACTTAAAAAAATTCTTTCATTTTGTATTTTGCAGAGATTTGAGACCAGCCAACCTCGAAAAAGGCCAGGAGATGATACGGCTGAGATTCTACAGCGCATACGCCTGGGGCGGTCCGCTTATCGTCGCCGGACTCGCAGCGTTCCTCGATCATCTGCCCGAGACACCCGGCCAGACCTTCCTCAGGCCGAGATTTGGAGAGAAGCAGTGCTGGTTTTACGGTAAGTTAATAGATAACATTGACATGACGATTAAAAACGGCTCGTTTGATCATTCGTCTATTCTTATCTATGTTCAATTTAATTTATGAATTAAAATTATTAAGGGCTCAAAGGGGGCTTAAAATCGAAAAAAAATTTTATTTCATTTTCGAATAGGATTTTTTGTCCCCTTTCCATTGCTTTTTTCAAAACTTCAAAATTTTGATCCTTCTGTGAGATACAGCTGTTTCCGTGAGCCATTTTCGTATACTTTGCGTGTTAAATTTTTTCTTCTTTTGCGTTTTCTGGCGTTTTACGTTTTTACAAAATGCAGGTCACTTGTCATAACATTCAGAGCGTACCGATTGAGTAACAGCACCAGGGTCGCGTATACTTCTTCAGAACATCAATGGTTACGGTCACAACCTCGGGCAGGCCGATCCGACCTTTGGGTCACCCTGCACAAACACTGAAGCACAATTTTTTTTTCATTTTATGTTTTTTTTTGTGACCTCCATCATGAATCTACTGATTAAAAGTGACCTATGAGTTCGATCACCTCGCCCGAGGTTGTGACCGTAACCATTGATGTTCTGAAGAAGTATACACGACCCTGGTGCTATAACTCAATCGGTACGCTCTGAATGTTACGACAAGTGACCTGTACTTTGTAAAAACGTAAAACGCCAGAAAACGCAAAAGAAGAAAAAATTTAACACGCAAAATATACGAAAATGGCTCACGGAAACAGCTGTATCTCACAGAATGATCAAAATTTTGAAGTTTCGAAAAAAGCAATGGAAAGGGGACAAAAAATTCTATTCGAAAATGAAATAAAAATTTTTTCGATTTTAAGCTACCTTTGAGCCCTTAAGCGATTTTAAAAATACAAATAATTATTCCAGAGCTAGAGTATTACATTTATACACTAAAATTATTTTTAACTGCAATTATTTGAAAACTAGTACATAAATAAGAATTAAGTCATATATTAATGTATTATGTATGGAGAGTACATAGGAGAGTACATAAGAGTACATAAATGAATTATGTATGGAGGTTTAAGTAAAAAATTAATTCTTTCTTTACAACAACTAGTGAAATATAAAAATAATCAATTTCAGGCCTATAGTAAAAAAAAACCAAAATGTTATTTTCTGTTAGCAGACTCGAGAATAGTAGTATACGCAACATGTGATCTGACGAATTCTTTTTTAACTGCGCTGGTGCCGCAATCTATTATTTTCTATTGATCTATTGAACACGCTTTCTCAAAAATAGTTAATTTTAAATAAATAATGATATAGAACTTTAAAAAATACACTCTTTATCGTAACATTCTTCAGATACTTAAAAAAAAGTGTTGTTGCTAACTCGCTGGTATACTGTTATTGATCGTTTCGTTTTACAAAAGTACAAATGAATCAACATGCAAACAGCGAAATGGCAAGAGATATATATTCGTCTGGTACAGTCGCAGGAGCTTGATCCGACGGCGAGTCCGATAAGCGTTTCCATGCCAGCCCCTCTTTGCCCTGCCCCGACCCACATGGAATCGCTCGTAGATTTAGATTCACCTGGTCGAACACTCGAGTGCATCGCTACTGCCGCTGCTTGGCATCTCGAGGGGATGATTGTTTGGCGGAAAATCGACCTGGCGCCCGACTCCGAGTCAGTCGTGGATGCTGCAAAAAAATAGAGAGACGCGTCGCCGCTGACTCTGGCAATTTATTTCGGATTATGCCGTGGAGCTTGGGACTGTACATCGAGCACTGCATCCATGTAAATTTGTCAATCCTTGCGTGTTTACGCACCCACTCGTTGCTGCTGCTCGATATGTACGAGGGGAAATCCAACGACGACGACGACGCCGAGTGGCCTAATGAACATATCTCATAATTCGCTATTCTTACATCGTTGTTCTTATGTTTAATTGACACATTATTTTTTTTCGAATACATCAAGACCAAAGAAATTTTAGTTTGATTCGTTTTGGAATATTCAATCATAAAGCTTGAACTATTCAAGAATTAAATAAAATTAATGTACTTTTCTATGAGTAATAATCTTAAGCGTAGAAGACATGATCCTTAATTAGATACTATTTGATGAAAACAATAAAATGATTTAATATTCTTCAAATAAACTGAAATTTCTGGCTTAAATAATAACAATACAAACAAAATTTATAGTAGGGGTTCATAAATATTTTTATTTATAAAATAAAATTAATGTGTGGATTTCGAAAAATTTATTCATCAATACCCAAAAATACCCCTTTAATTAAATATATGAAAGTGATTTATTTAACTTTTTGGGATATTAGGGTCTATAATTAAAAAGAAATTGCAAAAAAATTTGTATGATAAAAAAATAAAATTTGACCATTGACCTAATTCAACAAATTAGATACTTTTTTACTGGATTATACTTTATAAGACTAATGTTGCAATTTTGTTTCTTTGTATCAATGGTGAACATTTCTTTAGAAAAAGTGTCGAACGACTATTTTAGTACATTGGCACCCGTTATATAATGCATTTCTTATTTGAAATAAAAACTATTTCATAATTGAAAGCAAAAAAATAGTCCAACAACAAAAGCATCAAAAACAATTTTTTGCAATTTAGTTGATTAATTTTCATTGAAATCGTAAGTTTGCTCTCATTCTATAAGCTCCAATTAGAAACTTTTAATTCAACATAAAATAAATAAACTTGTTATACTTAATAATACCACAGTGTAGCAATGAAAACAATACGGACTAAGAGTAGGGACATTGTTGATACTTGAATCTGTATCAGACAATCAACCATTGATTGATTCAACAATCTGCTTCTGAAGTGAATACTCGGACTCAAATTATTCTAAGAACATTTTATCGCGTTTTGGTGAGCCTAATTTTATACATTTTTTGTCCAAAACGTGATTTATTTCATTTTCTTTGTGATGAAGTAGTCATTAATTCTAACATTGAGTCATAGGTGTTTGAGCGTTTTAAAATCGTTTTTGTATCAAATAGATTCATCATTCATGAAAAATACTATAAGCCATATAATCAATATAAAATCTCTGTCAAATAGCAATTTAAGCATCCTGCAAATTAAAAAAACCAATTTACTAATAATCGACGCTGTTAAGAAAGAGTCGAACGTTTCTATACATATTTAAATGTTAACGTGCTAGTTTTCCTTAACAGCATCGTAATGGATAATAAAATTTCGTTTTTACATTTCAAACTATCATTTTTACTCACTAGCAAGTTTCCAATCTTTAAACTTGTATCGGCAATCAAGCAATTAACAATTTTTTGCCTACTGACAAATTTTTAACTGTCGTTTTAAATCGCAATCTCCTTTTCACGATGTGGTGACATCTAACTTATTTTTATTTAAATTTTTAAAATGAAAGAACTTTTATCATGTAATTTTGAAATACTAAAAAATCCAAGTGGTTTATTCTCATAGTTTTTTGAATGATTTTTTAAATGACTGTTCTTAAAAATTTATCAATTCATTATATTCTCATTATAAATTCATTATAAATAAATTTGTGTGATTCAACAGTACTGATATATTTTTTCTTTCACATGTGTACTAACGCAGTATTCAATTTTTCAAAATGGAAACGGGCGGAACAAGATAAATTTTCTTTGAGTCAATTAATCAACCTGATTAGTTTTATATTCATATATTGAAGAGTGGAAATATTGTCGAATTATTATTTGCTATTTTGAAGAAAAAAATATGAATGAAATAATTCAACCAACGTATTCAAGACAATCCCAAAAATTTAATCAAGCTATCTTAAAACATGAATGTGACGAATGTGGCATGCAATTTGGAAAGTTCGTTCAATTGCAAAAACATATCAATTTAATCCACGTAGCTACTAAAAAGTATGAATGCACAAAATGTGACAAAAGTTTTTTGACTGAGTTGAAGTTGTCTCAACATAATGTACTTATTCATTCTGCTCCTAAGATACATGAATGTCACGAGTGTCAAAAAATATTTAAAAGCAAATATTCTTTGAAGTTGCATTTAGATGCAGTTCACTTGAAGATTAAAGAATACAAATGCACTGAGTGTGACAAAACATTTGGATGGAACAGTACTTTAAGGAAGCACATGTCTGCCCACCTTGATTTGAAGCAACATAAATGTTCTAAATGCGACGAAATTTATAGGACTAAAGAAGAATTAAAAAAACATATTAACGACGTTCACATGAGTGAAGGAAAACACAAATGCAGTGAATGCCCGAAAGTATTTGGAAGGGGCGACAATTTGAAAAAACACATTGATTCAGTACATCGGTTTAATACCGAAAAAAAATCTGGACGAAATGAAAAACAATTTATTGATAGGAAATCTGAAATTACGCATATACAGGTGCCTCAAGAAGGTCTCCAAAAACAAGAATGTAAAGAGTGTCACAAACCATTTAGACTTGTATCACAATTAAAAAGACACATGGACTTAGTTCATTTGAAACTCCGTGATTTTGCTTGTGAACAATGTGGCAAAAAATTTGGCGCAAATGCCGCTTTAAAAAGACATGTAGATTTGGTCCACTTGGGTATAAAAAAATACGAATGTGAAAAATGTCATCAAAAATGTGCCACTTTATCAAGTCTTAAGCGACACATGCAGACAGCTCATCAAGATATAATACTATTGAATGATATAAGCATTATAGAATCGTGTTTAGAATTACAAATTTGTTCTTACGAAGATCAACAAGTGATCAGAATTCAATAAAATCTATAGGGGACAACGTACAGTCCTTATTTTTCCTCGACGAGTTACTTACATAAAACATGATTATAACAACTACTTTCAATAGAAACTATTAATGTTGGAATTATCGTTTTCTAAGATGAAATTATTAAACAACTTTTAAACAATATTATTATGTACTTTTTAATCTGTAAATAAATTATTTTTAATTTTAAATAATTATTCAATTAATTAATAATTTTTCGTCCTAAAAATAATTTGAACTTTGATGCGTAAGATCAAATAGTTAGAAATTTTACGTTCTTTATATTCTAAAAAAATATTATTATGTTATGCTACAATATAAAAACATATTTTCCTTCATTATTAAAGATAGTATTTAAAAGATATTATTTAACTGAATGTTGCAATCATGTAGATAGTCTTAAAATAATTTTTTTTTATTATAAATATTTGTTCCTTTTTTGTTTAAGGTGATATGGAAATCTTTGCTTACTTTTTTGGACCGATTGGCGTACTGCTAGCGATTAATCTCCTTTTCTTTGCGGCAACGGCTCACGAGCTGACTTGTGGGTTATGGAAGGGAGAGTTAGTAAAAAGCACGACTGAAAGGTAAGTCGAGATTTCTTTGAAGAGTTTTTGATGAAGGAAGTTATACGACGCTGGGCTAAAGTTTTCTTTGTTTTTGAAATCCAACTAAATATAAATCATAAAACATTTCTCAGGAAAATCTGAATTAGGGTAATGATTTATATTTATTTTTAAGTATCGATTCAAATTCGTTTTTGTTGCATTAATTCGGTTTTCGATTAAATTGGCATTCTTGATTTTGAATTATTTAACATATACAACCTTTGTAATTAAAATGATGTTCATAACTATTTTTTATTATCATAAACCCCTCAAGAAAGACGAGAGTTTATAAGATTGCAATTTATCCAACCTTACGTCGAATCGATAATTATAGACGTAATTCGAATAAATTGAGTGAAAATCGATCAAGCTATAATACCAGCAAGTTAGTACATCACAATAATGACTTTCGCTAATCGACTCTGCGGCTTAGGTATCAACAAACTATTTCTGTCAATGCTAATCGTATCAGAATAATTTCCAAACTGATACGCATAAAGCGATGCACGATTATTCACGTAGATCTACCATGAATAATACGTTTCCCCGAACAAGTTTGTAAAAATTTGTCGGTATCAACATAATTCGGTATAACATATTGCTTAAAAAAGATTTTTATTAATTTTTTTAACATTTTATAAATCTGAAAAAAGATCATCATAATTTTAAGTCCAGGTAAGCGTAAAAAATTCTATTTTCGTTTTTCTCTCTTACTGAAAAGCTGTTAGACTTTAGTGCCACATTAAATCTCACACGTATACATACACTTTTTTGCAAATATCAAAAATTATACTTAAAATTACACGCGTCATTTTACCTATTCTTTTATCATTCACTGTATAGCACCTTCCATAAGTATAGACGTCCTGGAATAGCGTAAGATTTTTTCTGCGTCCTTTGCAAGGTTTTGTTCTTGAGTTTATGCGCGGTACAGAAGCTCGTTCAATCAATTAAAACGGTACTAGCGGCTCGAGCCGCCGACTTGGCTGCTTCTGTTGTTTCTAAAGTACAACACGTTGATCAATCATTTTGGAAAAGTTTACGCCTGTATTAATGCGAATAAGCTAAAATTCGGTACTTTATTAATCAAATATCCTTTCGATACTTTTTTCTTAGTATACACGCGACAGTAAACATTTCTTCTGGGTCCTCAGTCTACTGGTTACATGCGCATCGTAATTGAGTCTTTTTGCATAAACCTTAATTTACAGCTTGCTAATTGCCTTTAAAGCCAGTTGAGATCATTAACGCGATAATTTACGTAAGTGTTTACCAGCAGTGAGTTCCTGCTTCCGATAAATTTTAACACACTTTATTTATGATACCTCCACCTTTCATTTCTATCCTCCTTCGCATTTATCATTTGACCGCTGTTTGGTTTTTTATTCTTTCTTTGCCTTGCGATCCAGCGGAAGGCGTTGTTTATGTGCCCTGGAGGACATTTTTCAACTCTTGGTCAGACGGCAATGTCAGTGTAGCGAGGGGACGACACTAACGAGTGTCACACTAATTGCCCTTCGTCTTCCAAGAGTACACCAGGCCACGTGGGGGAGAAAAAATCCGTTTAGCCAGGGCAAATAGGTGGTAACTTGAGAAATAATTAGTGTGCGTATACCTGAGAGCTCATAGCTAAGAAATGATCTCTGTGCGCGCAGTTATTTTTCTTCATCATCCTCGAGATCATGTGAGCTGAGTACAGTCGTATATAACATTCTTGTTAATGAATTAGCGACGAATATGCGCGCACAGCTCGTTTTGCACTCGCGCGCTGCGGTTTTGTATTTCACTTTTCGTTTTGCGAATTGCTCAATTTGGCGCGCGCGGCGTGGCCGTTTTATGTAACGGGTTTCGATTTCGCGCGATATCCCGTACGCCTTCGGCATCCACAATGCAAGATCGGCTGCGTGTAATCGCGTGTGTGTCCGAATTATGATGCAATAATGAACGGAGAGGAAAGAGAAGAGGCGCAGGTGTTTCCTCCTCCTTCATCCGCGCGCCATCATCGGCTTCGCGTATAACTGTACAATTTTCTTCAAATGCATTTTTATTTCAACTTTGCAATCAACTTTTGTGTATATCGAGTACAGTTGGATGTCTGTTATATCTTTATGCACGTATCGGGTGCACGGAAATCGACGGGACATCGTAAGACGTCGATTTTATTGCAAGTTTACCGATGCATCTTCGAATCATAGCAGGCGTACGTAAAAATTATGCGATTACAACAGCGTCGGGCGAACGAAAATGTCGAAATTTTGCCTCATCTTTTCTCTCAGTTGATCTCTTCATCCTCTTTTTCTGCTTATTGAACAATTCAAATATGCTTTACGCACGTGAAAATGACTTGGAAGCAAACGGACGTGATTTATTCAGCAATTGACTATTGCAACTATAAAATTTTGATAAAATAGTAACACCAAATTCAACAATTACCAATTACAATTAATATAATACAATAACAAGTAGAAAAACCAACGTCAAAAATTTTTTTTTCAACCCCATTATTTTCGTAATCACATTATGGAATTTTCAACTTGTCAGATACTTTCACCTACGTGCTTGAAGCTCCAAGACGTAAAATATGAAAAAAAAAATTGACACCGTTGCCACGATATGTTACCTCGATTTTTTTTTTCGTTCTGCAACGACAGAACAAACTCTTTGCAGCTGAGCGTGCAGCAAAAGAGATTCCGACAAGCGTGCAAGCAAGCACAATTAGTGTCAAAATTAAGCGGTCGGCTGCTCGACAGACGAAGGCGTCTGTAACCCATTTTTCCATCGCGCGCGCGTTCCGGCACTCTATGAATATCCATGGCGCTATTTGCAACGCAGCATACCAACCCGAGAGCAAGAGCGTGAGCGAGACAGTGAGCGAGTGACAAGATTTGATCTGAATCGCAGTAGCGACTGACGCAGAGGAATCGTTAATAAAATCTCGCACATATATACAGTCATGCGGTAACTGCAACCGGTGTAGCATGTCGCATTGATTTTAAGATAAAATAACGCAAAATACATTTCTTGAATTATCTTGAAAAAATACATGATATATATTAAAATAATTCGATAAGCGAACTATTTGGAAGTAATCGTCAAGAGTCAGTTTATTTTGTCGGTTGTTGCTACGCACGAGCCATAAAGTCGGGTATTCTTTATGTACCATTAAATATAGTTTTATCATTTAACTTACTAATTTTATCATTGCAAAAAATTAACTTAAAAATATTATGTTTCAGAGCGGCACTAGGTAAAGTGTGTCTAAAGCTGGTCATAGTCATGGGAGTCCCCTGGATCTTCGACGTGCTTTCGTGGATGGCAGGTGGGCCCGATTTCCTGTGGTACGTGACGGACCTCTGCAACGCAGCTCAGGGCGTTCTCATCTTCCTCGTGGTCGGCTGCCAGCCTCAGGTCCGAGCGGCCCTCAAACGGCTCTGGTCGCGCAATCCTCGGGCCAATTCCAATCGTCAAGGCAACGGCCTGAGCACGACGAGCCACGGCATGCCCAGCATGGGCGACAGCTTCACCCAGAACCCGAGCACCAAGTCGGTGCCCCTCGAAACCATCTGCTGAGAATACGAGACTAGAGAATCTCTCATCGCGGCGGAAATTGTACTCTGAACCACTTCAAGAAAGAGTAAGTATTTGAAAAACACGCTGAAACGGGTATGATTCTCTAGAGAATAAGATGTAATAAAAATAGAAATTTGTAATATCAATCAAATTGAAATTGAACATTTGTGTTACTGTTAATATTTTTTTCATTCTGTAAAAGACAAAAGAACCGCTGTAAAAAAATAATCGCTTCCGTGCAATTGTTAGCAACAACTAGAATATACGTATAGAAATCATTTCTTAGTATAAATAAGCTCGAATATTTTTATTTTGATTAATATGTTTGCATTACAATAATGTCTTAAAATTAAAAACTCTTTAAAGGACAATAAATTATAATTTCCGAATATTTAAGAAAAGTGGATTAGATCAAGTAAATAATTCATTAGAAAACTTACAATACAAGTTGATTTGTTTTTAAAATGAACTCACATTTTTTAAAGATAATTTTATTAATACAAATACGAAAAATTCGCGCCTACTTCAACTTTGACTAATTAACAATAAATTCACATAAATGAAATTAGAACTACTTTTCAATCGTTTTAATTTTAATAGTATATAGCCAATGTGCATTTTATTACAATCAAAATTAAACTAGAATTATAAGAATTGCAGATTGATGTACCAAGAATGAGCTTTTACAGGGTATTTCTGTATTTTATTTTTACAATGAAAAATGTGAGACATTAGTTAGAACACGATGGATTATAAGCATTTATTGTCTGAAAAACTTTACGTTTTCGTGATTAATAATAGTAATGAAAATAATAATAATAAAGATGAATTCTAATTTATTTTTATAATATTTATGATGCATTTAAATGTGCGAAAAATGCGCATGAGATGCGATAAAAATGTTCATTCAATGCCAATAATTAAGTCAAAAATAAGCTTAAAGTTTTTGTATTATCTTATAAAAAATATGTACTCTGTCGTTTGTATTGTACACAATGAAATGCTAATTAAAAATTAAAAAAAATTAACTGTAAAAAAGTCAAAAGAGCAATTTATGTTGGTACATATTTTATTCGAAATTTCTCATATGAAACATTTTCGAAAAATACGTTTGTACATTATGATATTGTAATATATGTTTACATTACGTATTTAGTACTCATGTGCATAACATTCTCATTTTTTATAACTTTTATAATAAGAATCGCCTTTTTAAATCAGTCATATTTTAAATCACGAAGTTTTTTCGTATTTCATTGGTCTTTTTTACTGTAAATACAAACATGATATAAAGGCATTTTCATATTATCAACATTTATTTATGTAGAATGGGCATTGCTTAAATGTAAAACTAAAAGTAAGGACATAAGACTTTTATTAAAAAATTCTAATGGAAAACAGAATTTCTAGTCAAAAATGTAAAAAAACAAATAATTAAAAAATAATAATATTGATGTAACTGTAAAAGAAACCGCTGTTAATGATAATGTTATTTAATTAGTATTAGTATTTCAGCAATGTATTGTGGGCCCTCTTCGAATTGTATATTATTATTTAATGAAAAAGTATTGCTGATATAGTATTTGAGAAATAAATTTCTGTTATAAATAAAAGATAGTTTGCGTTTTACTTCTTTAATTCTTATCACCTTTCAAATAATATTGAATTATCTAGTAAAATAATCTGTACACTCATAAATCGATGCGTACGACGAAAAGTGGACATTTTCAGTTGTAAAGAAAAAACATTATTTAAATTGAAATAAGCATGGATCGTACTGAGCACATTATTGCAATAATGCTTCATAATCAATAGATTCGAAGCCCATCTCGAAAAATTAAATTTTTTAGTTTAATTTTATATGTTAAGTAAAAAAGTTACTTCTAAACACTGATTGTTCGAAAAAATACAAATAATAGTATTTGAAGAAATTTGACAAGTTTCTTTTTAAAATCAATCTTAACATTTTATCTTTCAATTTCAATCTAAATCACACTTCTTTTTTTCTCTGCCTCAAAATATTGTTTATAATTTTGTTGGAACAGTGATGAGGTATGATGGGATGCAGAGCAGCTGAAGTAAGCAAGTACACTCGGCAACAAAATTATCGCAACAAAAAAATTCATCGAAATTTTGTCGATTTTCAAATGCTTCTATCTTGGGCTAGATTTATCGTATGAACACGCTTTTTTTTTTAATTTCTTGGAAATTTTGTCCTCTTTAAATCCATATAAATTAAGATAAGATTTGAGTTAATGTTGAGTTACCAGTAGTATTTGAGCGTGACCCTAAAAATTACTGAAAAAAAAATGACTGTTTGAACGTGTACCAGTACCACAGTGATTTTTTTATCGAAATCTAACATACGCCATCGCAAAGTGCTCTTTTTAACGAGTAATTTAAAAAAAAAAAGACTTCTCTACGATTTTTTTAACGCCCTGTAGGTCGATTTGAAGGTACGGTTTATGTACGCAAAATGCCCAGAAAATCGTCTTGATTTCAGGTAAACGGGGGATTTTACGTACTTTAAATGGTATCTTCAAAACGACCTACAGAGCGTTAAAAAAATCGTAAAGAGGTCTTTTTTTTTTCAAATTACTCGTTAAGAAGAGCACTTTGCGATGGTGTATGTTAGATTTCGATAAAAAAATCACTGTGGTACTGGTACACGTTCAAACAGTCATTTTTTTTCAGTAATTTTTAGGGTCACGCTCAAATACTACTGGTAACTCAACATTAACTCAAATCTTATCTTAATTTATATGGATTTAAAGAGGACAAAATTTCCAAGAAATTAAAAAAAAAGGCGTGTCGATACGATAAATCTAGCCCAAGATAGAAGCATTGGAAAATCGACAAAATTTCGATGAATTTTTTTGTTGCGATAATTTTGTTGCCGAGTGTACATTGTATATAGTTGTGTGAAACAGACGGTAAAATTACATTATTCACGGTAGCATTTGCAAACGCGTCCTCTCAAAGTTTGACAAAGCCCTATGCTAATTCGATTGGCCAAGTTTTGTCCTAAGTAATTTTGAGAACATTCCTGAGCCTCTTCGTCAGCATCGGCTTATGCCTCTGGTTTACCAGTTCAATAGTTTGTACCACGCTAAACAACAGAATTATTAACTTACGGTCTATGCTGCATAACACTAAAGCAGATGAAGCGAATGAAAACCAGATCATCGTCATAATTAGAAAAGTGTAATTTTATTTTAATTTGTTTTTTAAAAACCATTTGTTTGTTTTGCTTTTTTCATACATAATAAAAATGTGCACATTCATGTGTTATTATAGATCGTTGTTAAAATACTTCCCTTTTTATTTTTATTAAAAAATCGAGTATTCAAAATATTAGTCACGAATATTATGGTGTAAAATGTATACCATATCCAGAGGTTATAAACAAGTGAGTATGAAAAAATTATCGAAACGTCGAGCGCAGCTATTAAAGAAATTTTATTTCCAGCAGTTGCACACCGTGCATCTCACTCGTATTATTGTTTCAAACGTTCCAGGAATATGGCTACACGAATATAAATACTCTCGACAACGATTAATAGCATCGAATGCACACAGTGCGCTGCACACTATGCACATGCAGTTTGTGACCAGTACACCGAATAATAATCCCCCACCCACGCGGAGCATAAATAAATGACACTCGGGCAAAGAATTTTAAAATTCATATTGCGCGCACGACGTGACATCTGAAGCAGTATTATATTGTGCTTTCGAATAATCTGCAAAAACTTGCGAGGCTCGAAACGCGCGTACATCGCGTCACTTTGGTGACAAGCGTGCAAAATTTTTTGTTCATACACGCACGGTCGTGACACTATGAAGTTTATAGTTGCAAAATTTACATTACCTGGACGAGCGTAATATTTTTGTGTTGGGCTGCAGCTCCGCATGTCATGGCCAATCGGTTCGGTGTTCGTGTTCAGCGTATCTCTGCGCGTTGGACTATCGATGTTTATATATCGTGTGCGCAGGAGGGCAATTTTTGCGCGACGTGTACACTTACATTACAGCTGTAGTGCACAGATTCGATGCAAGCTGATTTATTATGTTCCTATGTGTGTGCGCACGTGTGTGTACATGGGTGGCGTACACCACTCGCTGCGTGAATAAATCAAGCCGCTAATTATAGCGTGAATTATTTCTAGCCTTTTGGCCATTGTTATGATTAAGAGGCTTATTATCCTCCAAACGAATTCAACGAGATGGTATTTTATTTTAAAAAATGTCAACCTGAAGTGTTACTTTTCCATATATTATATAATCTCAAGTTTTCCTTGTTCGACACGCACATTTTTCCAACCTGCAGGTGCGATTATGAGTCCTGACTAAAAAAAATGAGGCTCATTAATGACAGAATGATGAGATTAATTAATCTTTAAAATGATTTCATGTATTATATGGATGGATCAATTTGCGCGTACAGCTCTCATTACGGTGGGCTTTAATCTCTTAAATCTCAAATTTAACATTGTTAATGTGTAATTTCTTTAAGTAACGCAATAAAGAAGAAATGTTTACTTTTATTTTAATTCCTTCAAAAGGAAAAATATAATAATAATAATAATAATAAGATTCGTAGCCGCTCCGAGTCATTTAACAACAGCAACAACTATATAACATATACCTGCCACCCTATGGTGCAGCTCGTCATCTGTTTGATACGCTTCTGAAACGAGCGAAAGTCATACTGTATGTTTATAATGGATAAAATAAAACTCGTGCCCATGTGCTCGCGCGCACGGATAAGAAAGATGAAACGAAGGAGATATATGCGTGTGCATTTGTGTGTAATGTGCACGCGCGCCAAGGCAGTAAAACCAGCAGGAAAAAAACAAAGCGCATCTCCTGGCGTACTGTGGCTCGCGAACATTTATTTATCTATATGCTACGTGCTTTTCTCTCTCCTGTGTTAGACGATCGTATCGTTCGCACCCTCCACACGATTTTTTGTTTCCTCTTTACTTTTTGTTTTTTTCGTGTTTTCAGTTTTCAGCTGCCTCGACCACGGATAAATTATAATTATTCGCGCTTATATACGGCCAACACGTACTATATTACATATAGGCCCAAGCGTACGCGAAGCAAACAAAGAAGAAAATATAGCGCAGAGCACAATATAATGCGTCCGAACTCAACTGGCCGATGAGAGCTTTATTTATATGAATTATTAGTGCAAGCCACATTTGCATTTAATGCGCGCTGCACTCGACTAGTAACGTAGTTTGCATACACACGGCAGACGAGAGAAAGAGAGAATGTGCACTGGAGAATATCGCGATCGAAACCTTGAACTTGCC